AACCTCAACAAATACAAAAAAAAAAAAAGAATTCCATGCATTCTATTGGACCACAATGCAATAAAGCTCAAAATCAACACTGGACAAAACCCTAGTAACTACACAAACTCATGGCGATTGAACACTCCTAAACAACAAGTGGGTCAAAGGAGAAATTAAGAAAAAAATAAGAGAATTCCTAGAATTCAACGAAAAGGACAATACAACACAACACAACTTCTGGGACACATTAAAAGCAGTCCTAAGAGGTAAGTTTATAGCTCTAAGTGCCTACATTAAAAAAATCAGAAAGCGCACAAATAAATGACTTAACATTACAACTCAAGACCTTAGAAAGGCAAGAACAAATGAAACAACCCTTATCCCAGTTAACCAAAAGAAAGAAAGATCAAATCCAAATCAACAAAATCAGAGATGGAAGGGGAAACATCACAACAGACACCCAAAAGATCCAGACCATTATAAGGGAACGTTTTAAAAACCTATATGCAGCCAGGTATGGTGGTGCATGCCTTTAGTCCCAGCACTCGGGAGGCACAGGCAGGCAGATCTCTGTGAGTTTGAGGCCAGCCTGGTCTACATAGTGAGTTCCAGGCCAGCTGGGGCTACAGGGAGACCCTGTTTCAAAAACACTAAAACAAAACAAAACAAACAAACAAAAAACCTATACACTATTAAATTTGAAAATCTAAAAGAAATGGATGGATATCTAAAATCATGGGAAAGACCAAAATTAAACCAACAGTTTAAACAGACCCATAACATATGGAATAGAGGACCTTTTGTAATCCACAGGACTTGGAGCGGGGAACTTACGCTACCAGCCACAGCAGTGGATTGAGAAAGTTGATAATTTCCCAACGTTTTAAGAAGACCTATATCCAATACTACTTAATTTATTCAAAAAGAAATATAGGGAGAATTCCCAAATTCCTTCTATGAAGCCAGCATCACTCTAATACCCAAACCGGGTAAAGACACAACGTAAAAAGAAAACTATAGATCCATATCCTTAATGAACATAGATGCAAAAATTCTCAACAAAATACTTGCAAACCACGTACAGATGTACATCAAAAAGGACATTCACCATGATCAAGCAGGCTTTATTCCAGAGATGCAGGGATTTCAATATACGCAAGTCAGTAAACATCATTAACCATATAAATGGACTCAAACAGAAAAACCATATCATCATCTCAATAGATGCAGAAAAGGCTTTTGACAAAATTCAGCATGCATTTATGTTCAAAGTCCTAGAGGGAATTGGACTAGAGGGAACATACCTCAACATAATTAAAGCTATATACAACAAACACAAAGCCAATATCATTCTAAATGGAGAAAAACTAGAAGCATTCCCATTAAAATCAGGAACCAGACAAGGATGTCCACTATCTCCACTCCTTTTCAACACAGTGCTTGAAACTCTTGCTAGAGCAATAAGACAGAAGGAAATTAAAGGAGTACTAAATGGAAAAAAAAGAGGTCAAACTAATGCTTTTTGCAGATGATATGATACTATAACTAAGAGATCCCAAAAGTTCCAACAGAAAACTCCTAGAACTGACCAACACTTTCAGTACAGTGACAGGTTATAAAATCAATCTACAAAACTCAGTAGGCTTTCTCTATACCAATAACAAACAACCAGAGAAACAGTTCATAGTGCCACTCCCATTCACAATAGCCTAAAAACAAACAACAATTGGGGCTGGAGAGGTGGCTTAGCGGTTAAGAGCACTACCTCTACAAATGAAAATTTTAAATCCTTAAACAAAGAGATTGAGGAAGACACCAGGAGATGGAAGGACTTCCCATGCTCATGGATTGGAAGAATTAATATTGTGAAAATGACCATCCTACCAAAAGCAATATATAGATGCAATGCAATCCCAATCAAAATCCCTGTGACATACTTCACGGAATTAGAAAAAAAAAATCTTTAAATTTGTACAGAAACACAAAAGACATTGGACAGCCAAAGCAATCCTGAGCACAAAGAGCAATGCTGAGGGGATTACTGTACCAGATCTCAAAGAATACTACAGAGCTATAGTCATAAAAACAGCATGGTGCTGGCACAAAAATAGACACACACATCAATGGAACATCATTGAAGACCCAAACCTGAGTAAATGCAATTTCAGCCACCTGGTATTTGACAAAGGTGCCAAGAACATACAATGGAGGAAAAACAGCATCTTCAACAAATGCTGCTGCCAAAACTGGATCTCCACCTGTGGAAGAATGAAACTAGATCCTTATCTTTCACTTTGCACAAAAATGAACTCCAAATCATCAAAGACATCAATGTGAAACTCGAAACCCTGAAACTATTAGAAGAAAATATTGGCAGTAACTTACAAGATATAGGTGTAGGAAAGGATTTTCTAAATCGGACAGAAGTTGCTCAGGAATTAAGGTCAGCAATCAACAAGTGAGACCTCATTAAACTAAAAAGCTTTGGTACAACAAAAGAAACTATCAGAAAGTGAAGAGAAAACTCACAGAATGGGAAAAAAAATCTTCATCAGTGTCACATCCGACAGAGTTTTAACCTCCAGGATATATAAAGAACACAAAAAAGACTCGAGAAACCAAATGACCCAATTAAAAGATGGGCTAAAGATCTAAACAGACAGTTCTCAAAGGAAGAAATAAAGGTGGCTAAGAAACACCTCAAAAAGTGTTCAACATCATCAGTAATTAGGGAAATGCAAATTAAAACCACCCTAAGGTATCACCTTACCCCAATCAGACTGGCTAGGATCAAGAGAACAAATGATACTGAATGCTGACAAGGATGTGGAGAAAGGGGTACCTCATTCACTGCTGGTGGGATTGAAAACTCACGCAATCCCTATGGAAAAAAGTGTGGAGAACTCTTAAAAAGTATAAATGAACCTACCATATGACCCGGTTATACCACTCCTTGGCATATACTCCAAGGACTCATCCTATTGTAGAGACACTTGTACAGCCATGTTTGTTGCTGCCCTTTTCACAACAACTAAGAGATGGAAGCAACCTGAGTGCCCCTTAACTGATGAGTGGTTAACAAAAATGTTGTATATTTACACAATGGATTTCTATTCAGCAGTAAAGAAAGATGAAATAATAAAATTTGCAGGTAAATGGATGGATCTAGAAACTGTTACACTAAATGAAGTAACACAGACTCAGAAAAATAAAAGACATATATTCTCCCTCATTTATGAATCCTAGCACCAAATCCTTTTAAATTCCAGGTCCTTTTAATAAGATAATGCTATACACCAGTCTCTTCTACATGAAATAACTACCATCATCACGACTTCAGCTGCGCCTGATTGCTAAACATCATTACAATTGGGCTTGTTGACGGTTGTGCTCCTTCATTAAAGGAGGGGCAAGCAGGGTTATTGGACCCTCACCGGAGTATCCAGCCACTCTTCCCAGCCAACTGTATGTAATTTGTCCCTAAGCATACATGGTCTCCTGGATTTGGGGAGGGCTAAAGTATACAATCTGGTCAAGGCTAGGACCAGAAGACTTGACCTATGCTGGCTAAAGGCTTTCCATTGTGCATATCCTCAGGTCATTCATACACCTCAGCAACCCCTCAGATATCTCAAAGCCTTTGAAAGGGAACTGACACTTATTCTAACCACTCCAACAGCTATCAAAATGCCTGAAAGCAAATCCTGAATCCATCACTCTCTAGTCCAGCCTCGGCAGACAAAAGAAAAAAGAGGAGGAACCCAATAGAGGGATGCTTTTGGAAGCTCTCGTCAAGAAATTCCAATGGACTCTCGTATGAACATTTGAAATTTGCTGTTCTGACTTTTTTCTAGTTCCCTGTCCAGAACTTGCAATGCTAATTACTGTTGCCTTTACTTCTCCTTCACATCCCCTATTCACCAGTCAAGGACTTTCTTTTCCCTGTGCTTATGCAGTTCGGGAGTCTTTTAGATAGACCCACTAAAGGGTCTATCACCCTGGGTCCTCACCCTGCATCCCTGGTTCAGCATGGAAGAAGCCAGAGCGGTCTGCATCCTGATTCCCTATTCACAAATTGGGTAACCTCTTCAGAGGATTGTGTGATAAGAATAGGAGGTAGGAATTGGCTAGGCAGTTAGGGTAAAAGGACCCCAAAGAAAAGTAGCCAGTTTCTTGGCTAAAAGTCACAATGTCCTTGGGCCTTTTAGCAACATACTCTGTTCCAAAGGCCAAAACTGTCAAAAGTATTTGGGAGCTTTTATCTAATCCTTAAAAGATTTTAGGGTTACCTGTTCAGAGGGGGGAATGTTAGAGTAGCAAAAAGCCCCATAAAAAATAAATAAAAGAAGAAGAATGAGTACATGAAGTTATCAGAAAAAAAGTGTTCGGGAGATATAGGAGGAGTTGGAGGGGAGGGAGTGGGCATGGATTTGATCAAAACACTTTATATGCATGTATGAAATTCTCAATAAATTATTTCTTTAAATTCTATTAGAAGAGAAAAACTGAAGTCTAAAAGGATACCTGAGAGGTCACTCAATCTCTATTTGTAGAAGATCTTTAAAAGCTGTCCTGTGGTTTCACTCCACACCACAGAGGCACTTGTAGCCACATCCCTCTTGCAAGCTCTGGGGCCAGCCTGGGCTCAGCATAACTCTCTAGAAGCACCTGACTCAGAATGCTGGAGCAGCAGATCCAGAAGGTCCCCAGCTGAAAGGTAGCCTTCAGGAGTCAGTCCTCCACCACCCACTTTGGCAACTAATAGGTCCTACCCTTATGCCAAAATCTTTTCCTCTATAATTTGTAATAAAGACAGCTACCGTAAAAAAAAAAAACTGTCTTATGAAATTATTATAAACATTATTAAAAAGATGAAAACAAAAGCAGCAGAATAATGAACAATTTTAGACCATTATTTTTCTACTAAAACCATCCACATATATTTTAATATGAGGAAAGATATTTACATTGTGAATTCATTTTCCTATCAGAAACGCAAAATTATAGCATCTACTTACCAATCCAACACAGTTGCTTAAAGCCACTTTAGTTGTACTACGTTGATCTTGCAAGTATCCTGTGTAATGACAGTTGTCTAAAAAATCATGTTTCCACTGGGGTCCATCTTTCCCCCAATATTCTACTGTAAAATGTTTGGACACAAAATTTGTATTGAGAGTCAAGTTTAGGTGAAAGTGCTTGCCATAGGCTGAAAGTTTAAAAAACAACATAGACACTGCCTGCTGTGGGTCAATAGGGTCCATACTCCGTCTTCTCCTTGAGTGTTTATCATTTTTCACAGTAAAGCTCAGAAAAGCTCCATTTTGATCAACCCTTATTGGAATAGTTAGCTGGTAGTGTTCAAGATAAGTCAGGAATTCCTCTTTGTAATCACAAGGCAGACAATCCAGAAAAAACACATGGAAGAAAAGAAAATGTAACAGAACAAAGAAGTAGCAATATATACAACTACATCAACTAAAACTATACACTGCAATGAGGATGAAAAATGTTATATTAAACAAAAATAAAGAGCAAAGGTGTAAAACCTGAATATTAAGTTTCCATTGTTTCACTCCTCAAGCATTATTTTAAAATAATCTGTGAAAGACTAGTCTTCATTTCTAATTTAATTTTAAAATATGAATTCTAAAAGGTAAGTTTTTCTAGAAGGATGAAAATTGTACATGAAAACAAAATGAAAGGTATAAGAATGTTTAGTTCAGATGAAATAACTTTTGTAAATTATCATTAAAAGTTCATGTAGACTCTCTATGACCTTAAATTATCGTTAAAGAACAAAAATCATCACTTGGAATGTGAAATGCTATGGCCACTTTGGAAATCAACCTGATAGCTCCTGAAAATGGTAAACATGCCCACTTTTAATTCCCTCTAATTTCTCAGCCCAGGCCAGCCAGCAGGGCCACACAGTGAGGCCGCATCTAAAAAAAGTGGAGTTGCTAGATAATTCAGCTATTCTACTCCTGGGTATACACAAAAAAGAAATAAAAATCTATGTGTGAATGTTCATATCAGCATTGTTCATCACAGCCCAAAGGAAGCTATAACTCAAATCTCCATCAACTGATGAATAAACAGGCTGTGATACATTCTCCAATCAAAAGGAAAGCAGTATTAATAATATGTTATGAAACATGAATAAACCTTCATAATAACTGTCATCATAATCAAAGTTAACTTTCTAACATGAAAAAACTAAGTAAAAGAAGCCAAATACAAAAACTGAATATTTCGTGACTCTATTTCTATGAAATAATCAAAACAGGCAAATTTCTAGAAATAGAGTTCAAGGGCTTTGGGAGTGACTCTAAATAGGTATAGGTTTTCTTTTCAGAAAGATTAAAATGTCCTAAATGCTATGACTTTGTTGGTATACTGAGTGGTACACTCTTCACACATAGAGTTCTAGACATGGACCATTTATAACACCCTTGAAAATCTGGCTCATCATCACCAAAAAATGATTTGTTACTAGGTATTCATGAAAGGGAAATTCAAAAGGTATGAATTTCAATAATTCTATAAGGAATGGCTTGGTACTTGGAATACAAATGACATTTCCTCCTGGATCCTTCTTTATTAATACCAATTCTATGATATAAAGTTCAATTATATAGATTAATATTATAAGAATATGAATTCTTAAGTTTGGAAAAGTATTTCTTGTTGTTATTGCTGTTGTTACTTTTGTTTTAAATAAAGGGTTCATATTAAAAGGATCTTGTATCAGAATTTATCTGAATTCTTCTTCTTCCATAACATAAAACTTGAATTCTGTCTGAAAATGACCATGCTTCTAATGAATGAGCCTATTAAATTTTAGGATATAGAAAAAGCTGCAGCTTGAAGTGTATCTTTTTTAAAAAATATGTTTTATTATTTTTATTTTATGTGTATGTGTGTATTGTTTGCATGTATGTGAGTACACCCATATTGTGCAGTGCTGCGGAGGTCAGAAGAGTGCATCAGATTCTGGAACTGGAGTTAAGGACAGTTCGTAGCTGCCATGTAGGTGCTAAGAATCAAACTCGGGTCCTCTGCAAGAGCAGTCAGTGCTCTTACCCACTGAGCCAACTCTCCAGCCCCTGAAGTGTATTTTTATTTATTTGGTGTTTTGGTCTTTTTGAGGCAGGATCTCCCTGTAGGCTCAGCTGGCCTGGACTACTTGCTATGTAGATCAGAATGGCTTTGAACTCACAGAGATTCACCTGTCTCTGCCTCCTGAGGGCTGGGATTTGAGGTGTATACCACCATGTCCAGCTAAACCATATCATTTTTTAAGAAAGACCAGCCAACTCTAAAATCTGCTGGACAAATTATCCAAGAAGGACAAGTCAAACATACACTTAGAGCCATTATTATTTATAAAATGAGCACTAAAATAACATAGTAGGCCTCTATTCCATCTTACATTTTAAATCCTCCCCAAATACTGTTTACAAAGCTAAATGTTCAGAATTTTTCCTTATGTGATAATTTCTGTCAAGTTTCAAAATTAGGAATCCTACCTTGAGAACTGTATGAAAGTCTGTGGTCACTATAAAATTCCGATGAAGCCATGATGAGGCTCAAAATCCATGTCAACGTTTTCCACGAAATTTCCATAATTTGGAAAACTGAATGATATTTTTGGAAGGCTACCTATGTGCTAGAGAGTCAATACCATACCAAAATCGAAGCATAACAATTTTAATTCCTTAAAACGTCTTGCAAATTAGATACTCCGCTGTTTAACAGGTACTTTTTTCCAGCATCCCGCACTTTCTTCTACGTCTGGATTCATTTTCTCAATCCAAAAATGAAGAGAATAATGATGATAAGACTTTTCATAAGCAAAGCATCAGGCTGATAGGTCACTAAAGTATGGCCATTTTTTAACCTAGGGGAAAAAAATGCGAGTTAACTGAAATATATCCTGAATGGACATATTTATTATATATAAATGAATGCTTCCCAAAGACATAGGTTCCAAATAATACAGTTAAACACATCATAAGAAACCTAAGTGGTTAAAAGGATAATTCTAAGCTATGAAATAATCAAAGAAGTAACCTTCAGGCTAGGGATCATCATTGTCTAACATGCACAAGAACTTGGGAATCAAGAAGGAAAAAGAAGATAAGAGGGAGGGGGAGAAAGAGGAGAAACAGGAAGGCCCCGGGTTACAGAGGGGGGCAGAATCTGAAGACTAATATTCATTAAAGAAAATAATTCTGAAGATAACAATGGATAGGCACAGTAAGCTAACCACCTTTTGGTAAAGTAGAAATATAGAGAGACTTCATAATCAAAGTCTATCATATGTACCTGACAAATAGTATGTAATTCCATTCCTTGACATGACTTTTTAAGTTTATTCATAAACAAGATTGCTGTACTGCTTTATGAGGCTCCTGTTTTTGTTTTTGTTTTTGTTTCTGACAAAGCAGATCTATAAATACAGAGTAAAATCTATCAGCTGGCTACGAACACTGAGATAGTATCACAACCTAAACTTCTAAAACCTTGAACTAATTTATGGTAGACCTTAACTATATCTGCAAGTCTTATATGATTTACAAGGCAATTCAAATAAGGCATTATCAACTCTGTAGGGTGTACTTGAAAAGAAAGAAAAACGATTTTTTTGAGACAGGGTCTCCCTGTAACCCCAGCTGACCTGCAACTCACAGAGATCCCCCCTGCCTCTGCCTCCCAGATGCTGGGATTAAAGGCATGCACCACCACACCTGGCACACACACACACACACACACATATATATATTATATAATTATAATATAATATATATAACTTCATTTCAGATTTCAAGACCTATCTCGGAGAGCTCTGCGGCTAAGAGCACTGGCCGCTCTTACAGGGGACCATGGTTCAGTTTTCAGCACCTACAACCATCTGTAACTCCAGTCCCAGGGGATCCGACACCCTCTTCTGACCTCCACAGGCATTGCATGACATGGGAGAACTCACATACATGCAGGCAAAACACTCATGCATATAAAAAATAATTTAAAAATATTTTTTAAAAGACCAACTCATTTTTTACTTTTGGCTAATAACATCACTCAGTGTCCATGTACTCAGAATACTCACAAACATGGCCACCTGATTTCCCAGGAGATAGCATGTCAGAAGAAAGAAATAACTAAAGGATTAATGACAGTGACTGAAAAGGACAAAAAGTTAAAAAGTAGTTAGAAACCCTGAAGTAAAACAGGATAGGGTAAAGGCAAACCCCCTTATATAGTTTAACAGTTTCTAGTGTACCTATAACTGTGCTATAGCTCAATACCTGATTTTCTTAGGAGTACAAGTGACTGGGAATAAAAGGTAAGATAAATTGTAAAACTAAGGAAGTATATAAAAGATATTAGAAAGATTTTTTATCCCAAATCCCTAATATATGGAATAATTTGTTGGTTAAAAAGTAGTTGAATAAATGAATAAATAAATGAATAGTGGATAAAATATAATCACTTTGGACACATAAAAGAATATTTGTAGTTAACTGGAAAATTAACCTGTGAAATACTTCTTTCCATGTGGAGCTAGGAATATTGGTTATTATAACCACTCAAAATTCCTTACATCTATCTCTACACATTACTAAATTTTGAAAAGCTAGTTCATTAATCAACAAATACTATTTTACCATGGTTGAAATGACACTATAACAATAGCAGTATACAGAAAAGATTAAGACAATCCTTACCCTTGAAAAACTCATAATCTAAATAACAGAAAAATTCAAAGCAGACTGATAAATGCCTGAATGAAGTTATTTAAAAATGTGTTACAGGTGGTCAGATATAGGAAATAACCCTAAGTCAGTGAAGATGGATCAGGAAAGCTGGTGAAAAGCAGCATTTGAGGTAGGTCTTGGAAATAAATGAAATGTCACAAGTCAAATTGTTGAGTGTAATCATTACAAATAGAAGATGTACATCCCCAAAAGTCTGGAAGGCAAGGGGGAAAAGCGGAAATAGGAACTAGTATTAGTGATAACAGAAACAGTAAGTTTGGTTCTTAAACAGAAGTCTAACAAGTACTATACAGTAAATTAGTTTAAGGCCAGACCAAAAATAAAATTTTAAAATATAGATTATTTCTTTTAATCTTTGCTCACAATGATCTTATTAAGTGGATAACAGTACTGCTACAATAGGGTAGATTCTGCAGGACTCAATGGTCCTGTTTCTTAATATCTGTACCTTTTTGTCATTCTCTTCCCTTAAATAATTTAATTCTAACCAAGAAAATATCTCAATATTGAGGGGATGCCATTTCCATGATTAGATTACAAAAGATTGTGATTTACATCTTGGTATCTGACCCTGTTTTATTGGCTTAATGAAACAAATTGATACTTAGATGCCCACAAGAAAGGAAACCAGAGCAGCCTCCACATAGCACTGGCAAGGAACTAAGGCCCACCACGCAATAACATGCTAGAAACCGAATCCCTAGGTCTATAGTAATTTGTTATGCAGAAATTGGCAATACAGGCACCAGTTTACACATAAAGAATCTGGCATTTACAGAGGTCAGAGAGTTAAAAAATAAGTGAGTCCACAGTCATACAAATGGCCATCTGACTCAAAGTCTAAGTTTTGTGTATTATAATCATACTTCCAGTTTGAGGCACTCTTTAAACATTCAGTAGTACTTGCATATAAGTTATTCACAAATGCTATCCATTAGCTAATATGAATGATTTTTTTAGCAACTTCACATACAATTATATCATCTTGAAACTACTTCTATTCCTATTTAGGCAAGACAGCAGGATATAAAAATCTATTTTAAAATCTATAAAAGCATTGTCACACTATTATCAATAACAGTAATAAAAAGAATCTGCTTATCTTGGTTTGCAACCTACTCAAGCACAGGTCCATACTCCAAGCTCAACCATAAGATGCTAAAGTGTAATTACTACTTCATGAACAGCATTCATTCTTAATGTTTTAATTTCTTTTTCAAATAACTGGAATGTTTTCAGTAATAATGTCTGACATCAAATGGATCCTTCATACACCTGAAATTGCAATCTTCTTTTAAAAAGGAATATACAATTAGCACATTAGAGTTCATTTTCTAGTAGACATAATGATAGATTTATATTAAATCATGCACCCTTTTTCTCTTGTTTTCCTTGACACTGAAACTAATGGCAAACTTGCAAGGTAGTAGGCTGGATTTAAGCAGCAACAGTTATCTCTCTAGAGAAATTTCCTGCTCTTCAGTTATGTAAACTTCACTCCTACCCAAACACTTTCCTGTATATACTCAAGTTAACTAAGTCAGCAATATTAAGAAAAAAAGTAAGTACACTAACAACTTAAGGAATTGCAATAAAAATTGCAGTGATTGGTACACAATAGAAAGAACAGGAGTTCTGTTACTAAACGAGTTGTGGTCTTGTTCATCACTAGGTACAGTATCTCACACATGGACACTCAATACATTTGAGGGCTTTTCTCATTTCTCATTTTCTCCTTCATGCCTCACTTTTCTTTTAAGGCTCCAGTATTCAAAGAACAAACTGAACACTGTATTAGTGCTTAGATAGAGCTCATTTGAAATAATGACTAAGAGAGCTTTACCACCCTTAGTCACCTACACAGTACAAGTGCAGTGTTTTGACCTACTTTCTGACACCTGGAAATGTTAATCTGAACACAATAAGAAAATATGTATAGAGCCTGAGCGTTTCAAAAATAGTTTCCAAATCAGACTAACACTAAAATACTAGATGATTGTCCAGAAATCACAATGCAGTAAAACCTTTTAAGTTGTATAACAGCAATATTATTATGTTATGGAAAACACAAAAGCTTTTTACTCCTGGTTTGACTCCAAGTTACAAAACCTCCCTGGATCTCTTTTCTCTTCTATAAAATTGAGATAATGATATCTATCTTACAAAGACTTTTTGAGAGAATAAATTAGATTACACCTGATAGCATGTCTGTATACTTCACTGTAGTGACTAAATAAAGGTTAGCCCTCCTCTTTTTAACAACACAACAACACTTTTCAAAGCTCTTCCTTCAAAAACTACTTTTATGTTCCACCTTCCCTCAAAAATTGTGAAATAGCTGGAGATCATAGAGCCAATACCCAGGCTGTACTGTCTCTTAAAGAGAAGAGTAAAGAACTTAAGCTATGATAATTGTGTTTATAACTACTTTAATTTTGAAAATATAATCAAAATTTCCAGTTTACTTTAATCTCATATATGCTTTTTATTCATACTAAAAAAATGTCCAGCCAGCAAAGTTAAGGAGTAATATACCTGCTTCCACGGAACAAAGCTACCATAGTTACATAGAAGAAATAAGATCAAACACTTTGACTACAGTGATTCCTTAGTAGTCTGTCCTAGTTGAAAGAAATTACTTGACTTTTTTCTTTATCATCTGACTTCCCACTCAAGTGATCTGGAAGTAGCTAAGGTAATAATTTCCTCTCATTAACTATTATTATGCAACTAGAGAACATGTTTAACATCCTTCTCAACTTCTTTCATCCATCTTAATTCTGGTTATTTATTTCAAAGCTGATTTAGTCTCTATGGAAAAAGCACAATATCATGAACTCTTCAAGTATTTTAATTTTTATACATGAAAATTAATTTCATTATATTTTCCATCTTTGCTCTCAACAAATATTAGTTACCTATTATATGCTAAGGACATCACTAGGTTCTAAATATAAAGGTTTTTAGATTATTGGTAAGCTTAATGAGATCAGTCAGTCACTAAGGAAATACAGTATAATTAAACACATAATTTATTCAAAATTCATGTAAAGAAAAGCAAATGAATCAAAAGAAAAACAATAACAAAATTTAGCAAAATAAAGCCCTAAATTACATACAATCTCAACTTTTTCCTCCCCAAAGGTAAAGGTAAATACATATTATCTACATTATAACATTTTTCCTAAAAACCAACTCCGTTTTCTTTCTTGATATTAGTACAAAATATTGATAGCCAGCTTTGGTTTTTGGTAAAACTAAGATATTGATCTACATCTTCCTTTTAATCTCCCCCTGCCCTCCATACACACACACATAAAAATCCAAATATGCTATTAATTCTCCTTAGTATGATAACTCGCTTTATTGTGTCAGTAAGATCACAAACAGCAAGAGCTGGACACAGGCCCACCGTAAACTACTAGAAGCTACTCTTGGTTGCTAAGGAAATGAAGAGGAAGTAGAAAGAATAGAGAAGAGTAGAAATTAATCTTACAGGTATTAGACTAAACATGACAAGTATTTACAGTGTTTCAGGTCTTCATGACTGGAGGGTTTTCCTCTGGGGATCACAAAAATATATTAATACCACTACACAGATTTAATTTGCTGCCATTTGTGACAAATGAATCAATTTGATTTGTTTGAAATCAACTTATTTGCTTTTATATGTCATTCTTTAAAAAAATCCAAAACACTAATGGTCACATTTAAGCACTAATTAATATAAACCAGATTGCAGCTACCATTTTTGTGAAACACAGGAAAACAATTATTAATTTTTCTTCATTTCCTTCCACTGCACCAGTTTTCTTGTATTTCTTTCCTGTCATGAATTCTAAGGGCTGAAGATTCCATCACTAAAGGTTTCAATCTAATCAATATAAGCTTAAGAAAAGAAAAAGAAAAAAGTAGACAAAAATTTTTGAAAAAAAATAGTAAATTAAATTTACATTCAGTGTCTTTTTAAAGTTCCAAGTAATGGTTTGGTTTCCCTTTTCTTCCCCCTGCTCTGCACACCCTCACAACCCCCCATACCATACCACTACCCTCCCCATACCACTACATCCAGACAGAGGGTAACAGTCTGAGCTGCACTGGTTGAGTTGATCCTAAAGTTAACATTCAGCAGCCCATTTCCAGACAGCAGCGCTAAATCTATTTGGATAAAACGCGTGTGACCCAGACAGTTGGCATTTGGCCCAAACGCGTTGCACCAGCAGCTCAAATAAAAACAAGAGTAAGAAACTTACTCTCTTGTTCCCTCTCAGTGTGCTTTCTCACTCTCTCTTGCTGTCTTTGCCTCTGGTATAAGAGGAAAACTTATCAAAGACAGAAATTATAGCACATATTATCACAAATATTTTCTAATCCCCCCTCCACCACTCTTGTTCTCTCTCCCTCAATCCCTGAACTTTAGTCCCATATACCATACATACAGACATACCGTGATAAACAAGGCTCCAGAGGGTTATGAGTCTAGCATGTCCCAAGCGACCAAAATTAAATCAAAACCACACGCTTTCATCTCCTTGATTAACCTATTAAGAGCTTAACATATCCTAGAGTATCAAAGCTACAGCTAGCAGATTACTGCTACCCTCAGTGCAGGCATGAAATATGCACTTGTCTGAATATTGAAGACACTGACATGAAACTACAAATTACAGAAGGCTTTTCTTTAAAAACTGGAAATGAATTTCAAACACACACACACATCATCATCATCATCATCACTTTCTCCATCAGTATTTGGTGATTAGTTAAAAGACCATAATAACCATAATCATGTCCACTTCACAAAACATGTAAATTCATACAATGCATGTATTTTCACATCATAAAATACCTGCAAGCCCCAGAATTCTACAATCCCCAAGTAGTCTAGTTTAAAAGATTTCTATCTGTAAAAGTTTAGTCAAACTCACTCCTAACCATTCGCTCTGAGAGAGAGAGAGCGAGAGAGAGAGAGAGATTTCTAAGCGTTATTCAGAAGACAAGCAAAGCATAAGTTTTTTTTTAAAGGTTTCATTGTATATTGTGAAGGCTTCCTTACCGTTTTCATCTTCAAATTCTGATTAAAAAGTAAGTTTCAAACAATAGAGATTGCACTGGACGACTCCCGCACTCCCTCTCCTTTTTTTTTTCTTTTTGACCCCCCCTTTGCAAAGCCACACCAGTCAGTTATTCTGCAGCCAGAATATAACTCTATAGTCTGGCTAACCCGAGCTTTACAGAACGGACTTTCAGATTTGGCAGCTTAA